GAGATAGATAGATAGATAGATAGATAGATAGATAGATAGATAGATAGATAGATAGATAGATAGATAGATAGATAGATAGATAGATAGATAGAAGCATTTATATACATACATATATATACAAATATATATATTATATCACGTGATAATGATGTCAAATAGATCTGGCAAGGAAAAAACAGCTCACACGGAGTGATAAAGTTCAAACCTCAAAGAAAAGATTTCATACGACCTGCCGGTACACTGGCCTTTTTGGGACTCAGTATTTATAGAAAGGAAGGCGGTGGCACGGCGCAGTTTTTGTCGTTAGATTTCGTTTGGTGACCTTTGTCTATGTCTTACAATTCTACTTCTTTTTTATTTGGTTTTTGTTTTGGTTTTGGTCTTGGTTTTATTTTTGTTTTTGTTTGTTTGCTTGTTGTTTTTTTTGGTTCGAATTGTGGCTTTTTTATTTAGGGGAGGAGGGGGGTGAAAAGAAGAGGGGATGAGGAGGGTTGTGTAGTATTAGTAGAGTATTTTGTTACGAATTTCTATATGTTGGAAAAAGTAGGTCGTATGGCCTATTATTTGGGACGACAGGAGGTTAGTTTTTCTTTTTTGATTTTTTTCTATGCATTAAACTAACACAAGATTATTGAGCAAACGTTTTCTTGTTGGCACGGGTCTTGGTGGTAATTATGATTTCAACTTTTGAAATTTATTGTCTTTCTATCTCTCTGTTTCTGTGTCTCTGTATGTTTATCTATATTATTTATATCATTTTTGCTGAAGAACACAATTTCAACTTTTGATATGTGCTCTCTCTCTCTCTCTCTCTCTCTCTCTCTCTCTCTCTCTCTCTCTCTCTCTATCTATCTTCTTCTTCTTCTTCTTCTCGATCGCATCACACTTGAAGTCCGGTATCTGTCATAAATTGGGCCGTCCTGCTCAGTTCATCTGGCGGCCCGTATAGCTTTTCTTGTAGCGTCAGTGGGGTTGGCTACGTTTCCTGTCTCAGGGCCCTGTGTGTCTTGCAGTGCTGAAGGATGTGTTCAACAGTTTGGTCCGCCTCTCCACACTGGCATTTTGGTGATTGTACTAGTTTAAAACATTTGTACATATGTTGCCTCAGTCTTGTGTGTTGTGTCCTTAGTCTGAAGATAATCACTTGTTCTTGGCGGGACAGCTCATGGTAGTTATCTGGTGTCTGAGGTGCTTTAAATAGTGTATTTATAATAGTTTTTATTTCTGTGTAGTTAACGCTGTTGTCTGGTTGCTCTTTTTGTGTCTATCTATCTATCTCTTTCTCTCTCTTTCTATCTCTCTCTCACTCTCTCTCTCTCTGTCTCTCTTTCTCTCTCTCTCTCTCTCTCTCTCTCTCTCTCTCTCTCTCTCTCTCTCTCTCTCTCTCTCTCTCTCTCTCTCTCTCTCTGTCTTCTGTCTCTGTCTGTCAACCTATTTATGTATCGTTTTTGAAGAAGAGCACAATTTTTATTTTAAGATATATCTTTCTCTCTCTCCATTTTACTTTGTCTATCTGTCTTTATACATTTATCAATTTTGCAGAAAAACACAATTTCAACTTTTGAAATATAATATATTATCTTTCTTCCTCTTTCTCTTTCTCTCTCTCTCTCTCTCTCTCTCTCTCTCTCTCTCTCTCTCTCTCTCTCTCTCTCTCTCTCTCTCTCTCTCTCTCTCTTGTATGTTTATAAATATATAACTTTTACAGAAGAAAACAAAGTCCTTTACTCAATTTTTTTATTTCGGACCTGCACACGCTTAGAACGGTTGTTTGTTTTTTTAATCTAATCCTTCCCCGTGCTAACCTCAAAGATACACAGGAGCAGCGTCCTATCATCTGTTCAGCTGGTACAGATAAAAACAGGAATTATTGCTTGGTTGTTAATAATTCATTGATAAACTGGATCAAAAAAACGTTCGGATAACTGCATTCGATAAGCGTATTTGAAGACCTATATAAAGGGAGACAAACCAGGATTTGGAGATCATGTATTTTTGCCTTGACAACAAAGAAGAGGACGTCCCATTTCTAAAAAGAAATTTTATCCACACGCGACATGTTGCCTAGCAGCAGATTCTCATTTTTGGGTAAGTAGATTCTCATACTTAATTCCCCCCCCCCCCCTCCCTTTCTTTCCTTCTCTTTCTCGTTTTTTCTTTCTCTTTCTTTCTTTCTTTCTCTCTCTATCTCTCTCCCTCTCTCTCCCTCTCTCTCTCTCTCTCTTTCCCTCTCTCTCTCTGCCTCTCTCTCTCTCCCTCTCTCTCTCTCCCTCTCTCTCTCTGCCTGTGATTGTATATGTGTGTATAATACATACGTACACATATACATGTATAAACACGTACACACACTTATACACACACACTCACGCGCACACACACACACTCACACCCGCCCACACACTTACACTCTCTCTCTCGCTCTCGCACTCTCTCTCTCACACACACACACACACACACAAACACACACACACACACACGCGCACACACACACACACACACACACACACACACACACACACACACACACACACATCCGCACACGTGGACACACACTCCCTCGATTGCTTATGTGTCTGTTTTGTTTGTTTGTTTGTCTGTTTTGTTTGTGTGTAAGTAAAGAGAAGCACATAGGCACAACATTGATGATTTCGTGATTTCGTGATTTCGTGCTGGGGGAAAAAGCAAGACAAATAGACAGACTCTACAGATAGAAGTGGAGAAGTTGGATTTACATGGGCAGCCTTCCAACCACCCGAAGAAAAAAAAATTGTTATTGATAATAAGTTTGATTGCCGGCATAGTGAAAAAAAAGGGTAATGCAGTTTGGCTAATTCAGATGGTGCTATCTGTTTTTTCATTGCCCTGTTTGGGATTTTTACGCTCTCAATGATTTGACATAAAAATAATTGAGAGACATGACATTTACTAAGCATATTTGATTCTATATTTGTCATTTGTTTCAACAAATGCTCCAAGTGCTCGAAGGTTGTAATAGATAGTGTGATGCTCGTCGTTGGTAGCAAAATGTGAGGCATCGTGGTAAAATCAGGCCCTCAAATAATGAAATCAGAGAAACTAGCCTTTTCGGTCGTTGGGCAATTTTATTTTTCGAGGTTTCCTTTTCTTCTTTTTTTCTTGCTTTTTCTTGGTTATATATTATGGCTCAACGCCTTCCTTTTATTTCCTTTTAAAATCACATTTCTGTTTGGATTTTACTTTTTTTTTTTTAAACCTTTCTTAAAGGCACAAAAAGTGTATATTTATAGTTTCTAAGGATACTGTGCATTGGAGTCACAAACTTTGGCGACCATTTCCATGTTAATTTTTACCTCTGAAACCAGGCAACCCCAAGCTCCTTCAATCACAAATATCTTGACTTCTATTCAAGATAGATGGATATTGTTTTCTCTAACAGCAGGTCAAACAAACAGGCTTTAAGATGATACCAACATATAACTCTATAGGCCCCAAAACTGACAAGCGCCTGATTCCATCGCGTCATGGCTCAAATTAACTGTGCCAGTTCACCTGCATGAAACTTATGTGAGAGCTTAACTGATTGACACGTAGGGTAAAGTGCATCATTTCATATCTGTAAATCGGACGGAACAAAGTCGAACTGCAGTAATTGAACATATAACATCTGACGTAACGTCCCACCCCCCCCCCACCCCCTCCTTCGCGATCCACCCACACACATACACACACACACACACACACACACACACACCCACACATACACACACACACACACACACACACATACGCACATCATCATCATCATCATCATCACCATCATCATCATCATCATCATCATCATCAGCATCATCATCATCATCATCATCATCATAATAATAATGATAATAGATTGCATTTATACAGCGCTCTAACCCATAATCTCTGAGCGTCGTACATCGATCACATGATCACTGAGCGAATGCTTCATTCACACAAGATAAAACATGTCACAGTATCACTAAAACCAGCTCAACCACGTAAAGAGGAACTTTGAACACCATACATTATTTATAGACACGCAAGGACAGCAATAAAAACAAAACATATCAGCACTTACTAACAAACTGCAACTAAGAATTTAACAAATATCTCATTTAAAACAACTGGATTGTGAAAATGGTCTCACTATACAGTTGCTTCGAGGAAAATATGTTTGATAATTTCCCTTTTTTTTTTTTTTAGTTTGACAACGTACATTTATTTAATATACACCAATGTGCACCAATAGGTCAGAAAAAATGGTTTGCATCTCCCTTTACATATGCAATGAGTTAAGTTTGTATAATATGTTAATCCCAGTGAAATTTTAACCGAGTTACAATATTCGTTTTCCCATAAGCCAGACTAAAAAGAAGAATAAGCAAATGCAATCAACAACTTTTACTGTAAACGACAATCAAGAGGGTCATAATTATAATAATACACACGAGAGTGCTTTAGACCATGAGACCATGCGAATGATGCTTGTTTACTGGCTGTGAGAAACCGTGAGACTGCTGTATGTACAATAAGTAACAATATCTTAAGCTTCCTCTAAAAGGCTGACAAAGGCCCATCGTTCCTGGGAGAATCACTTATCTGTTGATAGGATGCTACAGTTTGACAGGAAAATGCAATGTTTGGCCGGTCATAAGAGATATTATGTGCACAACCTGTACTCTTTCATTATGGAAACTTTTTAAAACAATAAATGAGTGTTTTATATGATGTGCTGTGGGCCAGTGACCTTAAACTCAATTACTACTTTCTTATTCGTACAACTTTGAAACCGAAATGTTACATGAAAAGACAAACAGAGTGTATTTTTATTTCAAAATATCTCAGAGTCCGACTCGCACAGAAATCAAAATATAGTATTCTAAAGAAAGAAAGAAATGACATATCTTTTACATAGACGAAGTTGTTTTTTTTTTAATATAATGCTACAACTTCGAAAACAAATCATGACATGAAAAGACAAATGTAACGTATCTTTATTTCAAAATTTCACAGTCCAACTGATGGAGATTATCACATGTCTTAATGGACGCCCTATACCAGACGTTTGTCTGAGGGAAAATCGTGTTTTGTCACCCCAGGCCTATTCTTGTACCTGCACGTCTCTGTGGGGTGCCAGGCTGCGAATAATAGGAGTGCTATACAGGGTGATTTTAAAAGAATGAATCGATTTCATGACTCCAATATGTTTCCAGTTGGGGGAGTACAGCACCCTATGTTCCTCTGGTATGATATTGATATTTCTTCTCAGCTGAGACAAAGAGAGAGAGAAAGAGAAAGAGAGAGAAAGAGAGAGAGAGAGAAAGAGAGAGAGAGAGAGAAAAGGGGTGGAGGGGGGGGGGGTATTGTTTGAGTGAGCGAGCAAGTTAGGTGGTGAGTGAATGTGAGAGCAAAGGAGATTGGGAGTTCGAGTGAGAACGCGGAAATAAATAATACACAGGGTGATTCAAAAGGAATGAACCGATTTCATTACGCAATATTTCAGTACGGAAAATCAATAGAAAACTCTATTCAA